GAATAGTGATGAGAAGCATGAGCCAACGTAGAGAGAAAGAGAGTATAATATCGCTCTGGCAGGGCCACCGAGCCTGGCAGAGAGACGCTTATGGAGCAGTCATGAGAGAGAGAGATAAATGCAGGAAGAGTTTCTCTGGTGAGATGCCTAGTGGTATACCTAGCCAACATTTGTGTGTGTTACAGAATGATCGGCTTGCATGGCGATATCCTGCAAATGTCACTGCTTAATAAAGATCATTGTTGTACTTCTCACGCATGGTTAGCGACAATCGCCGCGGTTCAGTTAAGATCCATCTCTATCTTTCACACTTATATAGACCGTAAGTGTAGATGGTAAACTGTGGATGCCATTCGATGGAATGAATGTCTTAACACAACAGGAAGCCACGCAATTTAGTAAGTCTGGATAAAACTAAAGGGACAAACGAGACAAATGAGCAGTTTACAAGTTAACATCCTGCACAATATTCACATAAAATCTTCTGAGAGGAAGTGATCCAAGCTAACCATTGGTTCCATGCAGCATACATCAATGGCCTACATAGTTGCTGCTAAGTAGCGTATACAAATAAAGATTATATTCTTTCAATAGACAAAAATCACATTTGATTACGTGTGGGATGTGAAAGAAAGACTCTCCGGTACTAACTTACCTATACAAAAGGCAATAAGCGTTTAATCTACTAAGTCCACATTGGCGGTATACCTATTAAACACATCCACACCTTCGTTGCAGAGGAGAGAGGTGTGTAAATCATTGATACCATAGAAGAAGGATTACTCTGGTTTAGGGCTGCTAAGGACTTATATTTACGCATCTTTTCGCGGTTTGATCCAGGGTTCACTCTGAAAGGGTCATAGTGACTCTAGGTTTGCTATAGGAAATACGTAACTGCCCAATAAGAGGAACTGTATATATCGTTCACGGAGTTGAAGCACACTCTTCTGTGTCATAAAGAAAAATTAACATATCCCGAGATAAGATATATCCATTCAGCTGGTACACCAAGTTAAAAGGCACGAGCGGTGGCCATTACAACCGGGAGAGACCTTGAAGACCGCTAATTAATAAAGGCAAAATACCTAAAGAGCAAAACAAATACTTCAGCTCACTATATTTGCATTACAGTGATAGAGACTATAGCAGTAATGCTACTGGTCATCGTTGAGTGAGTAGGCATGCGTATAAGTTTTCATCTAAGGTTAAGGTGTTGAGATAGATGAACTATAGTAAGATAGATGAATTGTGTTAGAGTAGGATAGGCTAGAGTGGCGTGTTGCAGAGATGTACGGCGTTGGACATGATTATCCAGAAGCAGCTAATTTGCGTGTCAGTCTTGTTGTGGCTTAGGGTTTGCATGCCGGCAATCAGTCTGTGGCTTGAAGTGTTTTCGGTCTGTCATCTGTCCGTGACTGTCTGATAGTCCAATTCTCAATGAACGTATGAATTCTCAGCACAGAGACCTTTAGGGAAATTTGGTTCAAACTTCGCACAAACCATTCACTTGGACCAAGTGATGAACTGATTAAATTTTAGTGGTCAAAGGTCAAGGTCACTGTGACCTCACAACCATTTTCTCGCAATAACTCATGATCTTTAATTATGACATGATTTAACACAAATGTCTAATAGATAATAATGTGTGATGATATTTTCATATTCAAAATGGTCAAAGGTCACTTCAACTTGTGACATAAATAGATGTTCTGCAAAAACACTTCTTGCAATTATTCAAAAACTGTGAACTCAGGAAGGGGAGAATTGTGAGGGAGGCATACAAACAACGAGGAGTAATTCTAGGTTTTTTCTACAGTATTAATAATCAGCATTGTATTTTTATTAAGACTTTAGATTAATACACTGGCAGCAGCTTTAATAATGTCCAGACATATGTGCCGACACCTACTGTATATTCCTTGGGTACCAAATGGGAACAAAAACATCAGTTGTCCACTAAGAAAAAGTCCAGGGCCCCCAAAGGGTATTTGTCAAATAAGACAATTAGTAGCGTTCTAGGTTTCCTAAATGGAGCAGTCCTGGGGTAAGTAAATGGTAGAAACAAGCAGCAAGGGCTGCTACGTTGTCAGAGGTGAGTCACTGTCTAGGCAATCCCAACAAGGTTGTAATGTTGTGTCCAACTAATGTAAGCAGAACCTACTGTGAGTCAAACCCCTCCCCTGTCTCTCAATATTAAAATGTTTATCTATCCCTATACAGACGTGAGGAGAATGTTGTTTTAGTGACTCTGTGGCCATTACCACACTCATACAATAAAATCTCTTGATCTAAGATGTGAAAATGGTCTTTCCAAGTTAGTGATAACAAATGTTAAAACCCCTGGATAATTGTGGGCCCACTCCGACAGAAAGGTCTTCATGGTTTGTCTCAGTTTTGTTTTTCTTTTTTTTTTTAGTTCCGCACATACTTTGAAGAAAAGTTTGCAGAACAGTTCAGAAGTAGTTTAGTAGCTGCTGCATATTATGCTTGCTGTTATCTCCATGCTACAAGTACATCATTGTCATCCACAATCCTAGTAATGAAAATCATCGCTGAGTCATATTGTTTCTGATAATCAGCATCACACTTTTCCTTCTTCTTTTCTTGCTTTTTAATGTCACAACCTTTAACCTCCATTTCTTTTCTCCCCACTTTAGGGGTCTCAACAAGCAAGGTTAGCAAGTGCAAGACGTGAGTGTGTTATTTCTTTGTTTATACCTGCTATCTGCATTTTATGCACTTATTAATCCTGTTTGTGGTTCTTTCACAAGTTATCGCAAAATTCTTTGGTCTTTTTATTCACCCAGAATGCAATGCCGCAATCCACAGAATGTATCGAAAAAATATTGGCAGGTGCACTGGAACAGCAGCCAACAGTCGTGGACACTGTGTGAGCAAAATGAATGTTCTCGAGTCCCAGTATCATTTCTGTTTCTGCCTGTACTGACATAGTTAAAAGACGGAAAACACAAACAAGTACTTGACATCTTCATTTTGACATTTATGTGTTATCAATATTTCTGCCTTTTTGAGAAGGTCATGAAGCATTTCTACAGAGGTGTATCAATCCCAGTTGCCAAACAACCGCAGTAAAAATGGACTAAAAACTGAGTTCAAGAAGTTTATGCTGGACACTGAGAATCATGAACTTATCCTGTAGAAGTTTACTTCTCTGTTGGGCTTCAACAAAGTCAGGCTACTTGACTCAACCAGCAGATAAACACAGTACAGTCACAAATGCCAACAGCATAACCCAAACACATTCCTTTACAGGGAGATTTACTGCAATTAATCCATACTGCAATTCACTTTCAGGGAATTAATGACTGCTTCAAAGGAAAAGAACCCACAGAGGAAAAACAAGAAAAAGAAAAACACATGACCACAATACTAAATCACAATAAAGAAATAAAAATGTCACAACCAACAAGATGGTGAAATGAGAACCAAGCCAGTACACAATGCAAATATATCGTGGAAAGGTTTAGCTTGTCTTCAATTCTGATTTAACTACTAATAAAATAACATCTTGCACTGTTTATGGATTGGCTCTCCATTTCAATTCCAACACTAGACCCGAACAAACTGCAGTCTACAAAAACACCAACGACCACATGTCAACAACAAACTGGATATTAGATACCTTGAGTCTTTGTATTTTTCCTTGCCAGGTACTAAGGGTAAAAGAAAACCTCCTATACTGGTTCCCAACTATTTAAAAAAAGCCACATCACCGATTGAGTTACTCATGTCAATCAATGGGTATATTTTGGATTAAATGAACAAAATAACTTGCAGCAAGTTTTTTCATGGGGCAGAATAATAACGCAAATTTCTTCCCATAATTTAGATAAGTACCCGGCACAGAAAAACACAAAAGAAAAACTTAAAATATCAAGGCATTTTGCTATGACAGAAGGAGACAGAGACAGGCAGTTTTACCTTCAACTACTCCATAGCTCACTGTGTTGGCGATGGGAGAAAGAGGAAGAAAGAGAGATGAAGAGAGGGGGAGAGCCAGACAGCTGCTTTAAGATTGAAAATAGCTCAGAAAACACACACACACACACACACACACACACACACACACACACACACACACACAGTGTATACAGACAAAGACAAGTGACCCGTTCAATTCTTTCACAAATGTTTAGTTAATAAATAAGTTAATGACTGAAAAACTGAACTGATGCTGCCACAGAATTATTAAAAGACTCGGTTTGCTTTTGAGCCATTACAGTTATACAGCTACATGGAGCAGACAGGATGACATGAACACACAAACAAACTCAGTCACAGAGCAGGAAAATATGTCATAAGTCTGCTTAGAGGAAGTCTGCTTAGAGAACAAAAAAAAAAAAAAAAGGCAAAGAGACATAGAAATAAAGCTGGACAAATATAGCAAGGCAGCGAAAGATAGAAAAAGACTGTGGGAAGAAAGAAGAACACAGTCCATTTTCAAAGTCGGCCCCGTAATCAAACACACGAGTAAACTGCACTGGACCAAAACATCTACTTAAAAAGTTTTGGAACAGAGGGCTACAGCCACCATTTCTAACAAGGCTAGAGTCAAACTTACCAAGAGAGTCAGGGCTTTGATTAACATGTGAATGAATTTGACAGATGTAATATGTCTGAACCACATGCATAGAGTTGTAGCCTCTGTGACCTCCAGCCAGTGTCTCCACTGTTTATATAAGACAGTGAAACTAGCCTGACTTTGATTAGCTGCTACCTCACCAAATGTGAATTTAATGCAATCTCACTTACTCCTCATGTGAGTGTGTTTCTTGGACAAGATTCACACCGCACTCATTTTAGTAGATAGCAGAACGAAATTAACGTTTGTTTGGGAGCGTAAGCGTTTGACAGAAGAATAACAGTGAAACAGTAACTGTATAGTTCTCTTGTGCCAGTGCAACAGAAACCAAATTCTTCAGTACAAATATTTTAGTTGGTAGATGAGGCAGAAAGACGAGATGGAATAAGTTACTTACTGGAGGGCATGGTGTATGTGTCCTCTTCATCAACTATCTCTGCATAGTCATCAGTCTCTGTAACAATACACATAGACAAACAGTGTAAAATAAACCATGAAAACAATAAGAGAAAACACACTCAAGCATATGTCTAACACAAATACTCAAACAAAACAATCGTGCACATGTTGCTTGATTTACCGTACGTCCACTATGGTACGAAGGGTTCTTGACACAAACAGTCACATGTGTGTACACCAAAAAATAAAAGTGCGCAAAAAACTTTAAAATAAAGCAGCTAACTTTTAAAATGAACTCAGTTTCGACAACTCCAGCGCAAAGCAACACCCACATAGCTCCTCTTGCTCTCCCCTCTCCCCTCTCTCTCTCTCTCTCTCTCTCTCTCTCACACACACACACACACACACACACACACACACACACACACACACACACTTACACTTGGCAGAGAGTGTCAGCTGAGCATGTGTTGTGCATATCTGTCTGTGTGAGAGCAGCTGGGGTGCAGGGAGTAGCTGTGGTGGTGATGGAAACAAAGACAGAAAGGAGAGACAAGGGAGACAAGTAGAAAACAAAAAGATAGAACAGGAAAGAGAAAACAGGATATAACATTGAGACAGAAAGAGGGAGAGAGACACAGAGGAGAAGAGAAAGAAATGGTGTGTCTAGCTGTCATGTAAGCAGGTGGTAATATTTAGAGTAGACAGATAGACAGAGGGGGGGGCAGCAGGAGGAGGAGAGGGAGAGATGGACTGAGTCTATCGTAACCAGATGGTGGTGTTTAAAATAAAATCAGTGTGCAGACTCAGCTGTTGGAAACGAGAGTCAAACATCTGCTGTCCTGAACGCTCACCTCACAGCTCTGCTTTGGATTTATCAGGCTCTGTGGGAACGTGTCCCCAAATTTATCAGAAATCCTTTTCTAAAGCCTGTCGCTAGTTTCTCAAGGAATTTCCCTACAACATGTCATGTAAAAAAAAGCTGAAGAAAGCACTACTGGATAGCTGTTTAACTGTTAATGTAAAGGAGGCTGAATGAAACACTGGATATTTGCCAATGCACATGAGACTGAAAAGTGCTGACTATTATATCAACGCTTAAAGAAATAGTTTAACACTTTGATAAATATGCTTTTTTCCCCTCCTTGCAGAGGGTTAGATTAGGACTTCGGTACCACTCTCATATCTGTGTGGTAAATATGAAGCTACAACCAGGAGGCAGTTAACTTAGCTTAGCATAAACACTGGATACAGGGGGAAACAACCAGCCTGCTTCTGTCTAAAGGTAAAAACAATCTGCCTGCCAGTGTCTCTAAAGCTTTCTCTCTAAAACTAAACATTTTTATCTTGTTTGTTTAATCTTTAGACAGAGCCAGGCTAGCTGTTTCCCCCCGCTCCCAGTCTTTATGCTAAGCTAAGCTAAGACAAGCTAAGATAAGTTAAGCTAACTGGCTGCCAACTGTACTTTCATATTTATAGGACAGACATGAGAGTGGTGTCAATGTTCTCATCTATCTGTCAGCAAGAAGGCAGATTTAGTGTATTTCCCAATATACCCACCTATCCCTTTAAGGGTAAGATGAATGAACTACTGTTAATTAAGGTTTGAGCCATTATTACTGTTGCTGTATATACTATATATTTACAATAACTCATTAGAGAAGAGGTCGGAAAAAGTTTAAACATTTAATCAAACAGGCATGATTTTTACTCAACCATTGCCGCCATGATTTATGTTTCACATGAGAGGAAAGGCAAGCCTCTAATATGCCTCTAAAAATATCATGATATGCTGCTACAAAAATGTTTTACTAGATAGATAAACAACATAGCATTGGTGAAAGGTGATGTTCAGCATTACTTATTTGATTAAACACATTTTATCAACAGAAAAACATTTGAATGTTTTCATGATGCCTTTTTCCCCCCAGTCATATGTGCATTAATGAAATGCCTCCAGCTCATTTCAAACTATTTTCACTCATTTTTGAATTTGTTTGTTGCTTTTACCTCCATACAATAAGAAATATTTTACAGTGATTTGTTAGTTCGTACCGTGAGGTCCGTTGTTCGCATCGCTGCATATTCAGTCCCATGTGGTTTGGGATTTGTTCTACAGAATCGACCATTTCTAAGTTTGACTGGTCTAACTCTGTCTCTTTATGCTTTCTGTGGAGGGAAAGTGTGTGTGTGTGTGCACACGTGTGTGTGTGTGTGTGTGTGTGTGAGATCTAGTTAGCCCATTATAGCCAGGAATGCACCCGCTCTCGAATCCAGCAAACCTCTCCCTACTCTACTCAGTGTGCACGAGTGCGTGCATGAATGTATGTGAGTACACGTGTGCATGATTTTGCATGTGTGGATGTGTGGCTGAGTGTGTGCGTGCGTGCGTGCGTGCGTGCGTGCGTGTGTGTGTATACAGAGAGAAAGGTTTGGAGAAGTTCCCTTAAAGAGAAATACCACTTAATTTACAAATTCTATCTTTTGGTATTCATCTTGTGGTTAATAGCAGACATATTTCAAATTTAGTGGTTCCACTTTCAAAATAATCGCCAATAGACACATAGACCCAAACACACAAACATCTTAAAACACAATACTAAAATTTTATGCAACTCTAGCTACTTACATAATCAAACCCGTTAAAGCTACTGGTGATTTATTCATGTTTCCAGCCATTGAAACATGAGGAGCCACACATTTAACTAGCTAATCATTGCGTTCTAAACCATTTTATATCATTTAAATCAAACCATAATTACATCATAGAGCACATACAGACATAGAGCTATTGTTAAAGAGGGAGGAATGCATGCATAAACATCAACCCACACACACCAATACACACACACGCTACCCTTTCCCAGGAGGGTGCAGCGTGTTGGTGGAACAAGACAAGAAAGAAGGAACAACAGAGAGATTGATAAACAACAGCATAACTTTACCATCCCCACTAAGATCTTCTGCAGGGTCCAGGAGAGCATGCAGGAAACGGGACAGCAGAGGAGGAGGAGGAGGAGCGAGGTAGAGAGAGAGAGAGAGAGAGAAAGAGAGAAAAGCAGGAGGCAGAGTGGAGGAGAGAGGAGAGAGAAGAGAAGAGGTTAGAGCATGAAAAGCCTTGAAACAACATGGGAGATGTTGCAGGATCTGCAAAGCCAAACACTCAGCAAGCAGTTAGTTAAGATCCAAAATATCTCCAGTGAAAAAGCAGAGTTAACAACTTCCATTAATGTTGTGCAGATAACATGGCAGTGAAATTAATGAGTGCAAGAAAAACAACAGCGGTATCCAAGGCAGCGTTTAAACTTCAGTATACTTTCTGCAGGGTTCACCATGTTACATTTTGAAATACCACATAAAATTGAATTTAACACCTGTTCCACCATCATACCTGCCATAGTAATAAAGTATAATGGAAAAATCAGTAGATCAGTAGAACTTATCGTTATATCACATTATTTCTGTATTTCCCAGCAGTATACTGTATGACAATACTTTCTATCCATCCATCCAGCCATCCAATTAATTACATTAATACAACCGGGATCTGGATAAGCAACACAAAATAGAGTGATGGATGAATTAACCAGTTAAAAATGAAAAAGGGACAAGATTTAAGATTTTTGTAAATAAAAGTTAAACACCCTCTTAGGTCTTTTTTGAGGGAATCTGAAGTCAATGATCTTTAAGACTTTGTAAGACCTACAGATACCCTGTTGAAACAGTGATCAGGGTTGGATCCTCGACATTAGTTACAGCTGATCAAAGTTTCTCACATGACTAGAAAATTGTTTTTTTTCAAGTGTTATTTCAAAATGGTCTTTTTTTCCTCAGGAGTAGTGGAATTATATAGTAATTCTTTTAGATTAGATTACTGTAATGGTCTCCTAAGAATTTTAACCTGAACCAGGAGGAGTATTATTGTTTCCAAGTCCTTGCATTGGCTGCCTGTGTCTTTCAGAATTAAGATGATCGTTTTATAGTCAGGCCCCTGTTCATTTCAGTCGTTTACTTACTCAAGATTTCCAATCGGGGGCTAGTTTCCCCAAAAGTATCTTCAGGCTTATATACTGCTAAAATACAACTTTTACACTTAAGAGGTGTTCCTCAAAAGCATCATAAATTAAAATGCTTTTGGAAATGATTGTAGATTCATTCTGCAATCATTAAGATGCTCTTAGAGCTGTAGGAAAATTAGAAAATGACAAAGTAACACGGACACATACACATACACTACAAAAATAAAGCTGTTACTGCCAGTTCAACTGAATCACCATAGTTCACAGTAAAATTTGAGATTTTAAAAGTGGTATGTCGACCATGCCTGCGTGTCGCAGTTAGAGCCTTCAGAAGGAAAAGTTTGGATCGTTTGTTCACGTTTCAACAACAAAGCAGCTGCTGTGCAGATCCACAACTTTTTCTCTGAGCAGTCCTGCGAGCGGCTGATGACAGCTGCCAAAGCCACAGATGGAGACACGAGGACATGTTCTGACCCACTTAGGTTGTCAACCTTCGAGTAGGACGTGTATATAGATGGATTGAATTTTGGCAGAATAACAATGACCCATAGCTTTAATGCATTTATACTCTGATGAAAATATTTTTTTTATAAAAGAGAAACAGTTTTGTTGTCATCTTTCTTAGCTGCAGAACAACAATCACGAGCTGGTAGTGATCAGTTGCTCAAAGACACTTTAACAGGGCAGATACTTGGTGGTTTAACCCCAATCTTTTAATGGAAGAACGATCTCTAACCACTTGGCCACCCTGCCACGAATAAAGCCCTGCCTCTTTGAATTAACTGACATAAAACACTGAAAATAATGGTTAAAAATAACCAAGCTGTGACCTCAACAGCAAGGCATGCACTGAACAGAGACTTGAGAGAAACATTTTTACTCTGTGTCCCTACAGGCTCTTTCCAAGAGGAAAATGGAAAATGTCAACTATTGGTAGTCTTTGTCAGCAGGTAAGCTCAAAACTGAAAACTTGTTCTTAATTGTGAAATATAAAACTATAAAACCGGTTACTTATGGAAAGTAAGACAATTACTAGTGCACCAAAAACACACACAAACCGCAGGTTTTACAGGAGATGCCTCTCAGAGACTTCGTCATTTGTGTTCCATTTTAATACGCCATCGGCTTGGTTATAGGCAGCAACACACAACCTGTTATTGTAGTTAAATTGTGTTCGCTCTTTTGTGTAACACTGAATTAGTTAAAGCAAACATGCGGTGAGGACAAAGACAGTTTAGTAGAAGAGAGCGTCCTTGAAAATGATTTGATACTGTTAGCTGCCAAAACTGTGTCAATATTCTGAATGGGCATTTTTAAGTAATACTTTTAAGTAAAACATTTCTTTTGCCTCTCTAGAGGTTTTTCTGTTACCCAATAAACATGATGATCATATTAGGCATTTTATTCCACCACATGTCAATTTTGTGGATACGCTCCTCTACTAACTGTCCAATGAGTGCCGACGATACCATTGGGCGGCGAATCTGAACAGAAGACAAAGGGGAGGAGGAAACGCCGCGCCTTGGTTGGCTTAGGAGGTGTCGATGTCACTAGGTCTTCAGCCAATGAGGAGGGGGAAAGAGGACCAGAGTGTGAGAGGAAAAAAAAAAAGACAGAGTGAATGGATGAGAGTGAATGCAGTGGGGGAGATGTGAGAATGACCGAGGGGGAGAGGAGGAAGTAAACAAAGAGAGGACGGGATGAGAGAGAGAGAGAGAGAGAGAGAGAGAGAGGGAGAGGCAGTCCCACCAGAGGAGAAAACAATGAGAGATGAAATGAAAAAAAATGACTGAGAGAAAAAACAGATGTTGGAGGAAATGGAAAGACAGAAAGAAAGACAGTAGTTGTAGCCAAAGTAGCTGACAGCCTGTGTTCATCTCACCGCTAAACCAGTCACTTTGTGAGTTATGTGCATCATTTTTTTTTATCTTACCTGAGACGGAGATCGCTCTTACTCCACTCCTGACTGCTTCTAACTTTTTTTCATTGTTCGACAGTCTAGAGTAGAGGAAAAAAAGGACAATATGGGAAATTAGGCAAAAATTGCACATTAGTCAAAGAGGTTAAGACTTAGGTAAAACAACTTCAACATACCAATGTTAAATCAAAACATATCAACAATTTTCGGCATCAAGATTAAATGTGGAAACTGTAGGCTGGAAAAACTGCTATCACTGTCTGTAAATGAATCCGTACTGTTTCAATTATCTCTCTGCCTTTGCCGTGGTTTCTCTCTGTCTGTGTCATCTGAGCTCTACTACTATCTTTACATCACAGACCACAACGGGCAGCGAGAAAAAGAGAGGCACCGAGCAAAGAGAGAAAGTTAGAGTGAGAGACCGAGAGAAAGAGGAGGAGACTAGCAGAGTGTTTAAAAACCCTAAGTGGAAAATATTTGGCTCCTAAACTTATCTCCTTATTTGACCAGAGACAGACAGAGAGAGAGAGAGAGAGAGAGAGAGAGAGAGAGAGAGAGAGAAAGAGAGATTTGAGTTGAAATGACCCAAAGTAAGTTAAAAGTTTTTTGAATCTGAACAACTGACAGTGAAACGTGGCCACACCAACGTCCAGGCTGCTACGGTCACAGATAAACAAACACAACCAGCTCTACGTTGAAGTCACAATGTTTTCCCTAAAAATCTTTTGAAGGCCTGCGGATCCTGAGCCACAACTCCAAAAAAGGCTGATTCTGGAGAAAAAACACTGAATATATTTGGTTGTTCCTTTCTGATGCAACACTCACATTGGCTTTCAGTAAAAAAGCCTTGGGTTGAATTATGGTTAAATAGTATTTGGGTAGTTGTGGGGCATTTTGGTTTTGATGTATTTATGCATCAACAAAATACAGAAAGCCCTCATTTCCAACAGAGTTCCAAGATTTGAAAGGCAAGGTAACATTTAATATATTTTTTTCCCTGGAAAGAACTATGTCATTTGGTCGTGGAATTAATTGGAAGTGTAATAATTGAGAACTACCTTCATTTTCCCCTATTATTAGTTTTTTATTATGCTTTCTGTTAAGGAAGCTTCTGTCGCTCTACCCTAATCTGTAAAATCACACACCTCTGAATTCATCATTACCTGCGTGAGTTGAGAAGATGCATTCAACACAGAAATTCTACTTCATTTTGCATCACCTACAATTTGCTCCTTTGGCTGTCAAACAACTATACCAAGCTGAACAGCCATAAGCAAAGTGACACTGTATAAACGCTGGCACAATAAGTCTCCTAATAGAAATGTCAAAGTAGCTTGTTCTGCAAAACAGGAACAGGAACAACAATAGATTCTCTGGAAAGTGATTATGTTTAAACATAGTTGTTAAACCTGACACTGTCCTGAAAGTCCATACGCCTGATTTAATGTTCTTTTAAACAGTGTAATAACTCAGGCCCTTTTGTTTTCAGAAGAACTCTGACATCAAGGATTTCACAGATAATGGAGGAGGAGGCTCTAAAACGCACATGCTCATGAACTGAATGAAGTATTTACCATCAGTGTTGGCATTAAAAAAAAACAGAATACTATATGCATGGCAGTGTGCCAGTCCTGTATTGTTACACTAACTGGGATAGTGCGCTTATTATAACTTCTACACATCAGTTTTTTGTCTTAAAAAAAATCTAAATTGTGTGATTGGACTAGTAAGGCTACAAGAAAATCACTTTACACAGTCAACATACAAAGTACATGTAGAACAGACAAGAAAACAACAGATTTGATGATTTACAGCTCTGACAGAAGACTGGTGACAGGTACTTACTTCGGGATGGAAGGCAGCGCTCTCTCTCCCTCTAGAGGACAAAAACACACATCATCCAGATAAGAATGATTATTATAAAACACAGTAAATAACTCTTTATAACACTTTAGAGTGTTTTTGATTCAGGTAGGACCTTAAAAACAGCACAAAGCACATAACCACAGTCTCTTCTGCATAGAAAATACATTTGTTATTCAGCATCTGAACTGATACATTTAAAATACAACTAGCATGCTCATAGTAGGGGACTAGAGCTGCAGTTCAGCACAGTATCACATAATAGTTATCAAATAAAAGCACTGCACACCTAATTACAGAAACACAGATATAACAGTTTAATTGTCATTGTCAACACAAAAATTTAGAGCTCCCAGTTTTTCTCTGTCTAAATAAACACAAAAATCTTTCATACTCTGTCCTTATGTAGTTCAATCATGTTTATCTGTGATATGTTTATGTTTTTGCATGATTCTGGGAAACTGTTGAGCTGGACAAAAAGGAGGAAACTACAGCTTCATACCTTTCTGAACTCGGACGATGAAGGAATGAGTTTCCATGGAGACGAGCCGACAGTAACCATCAATCAAGTCAGCCAAGTTTTCCGCCATGGTCAGTGAATCTGTTGTAACAGTAAGAGGCTGCACACACGCACACGCACGCACACACACACACACGCACACACACACACACACACACACACACACACACACACACACACACACACACAGTCCCGGGCCTGTTACAAAGAGCCTTTATCTCAAGAAACGCAGGCATACTCTTACACATAACAGCACAGTGGGGGTTTCCCACTGCTCATACATCAGGGGAAAACTCCTCTCTCCCACATAGAGGGTGTGTGTAAGTAAATCCAATACTATAAATGCCAATGAAACAGAGAGACATTATAAAAACCCTTCCTCTGTGATTAGAGCCATTATATGCAACCTATACAAAAAACAGAAATACATGTTTTTTTGACCAGCATTAGCATAATCATAACAGGGTCCAATGCACGCAGCTTGTATGTATGCAGACACTGACAGTTAATGCTGTATTTTGAACCAGAGCACACAGCATTTTTGTGTCTCTGCTCTGTTTTTGGTTGGACACACCGACTAAACTCACAGATGACGCTTTTTTCATTTGAATGAAACTCATTCTTTGTACAGTAGAAAGTCTCTACCTCTAAGTGAAGTAGGGTACACCACAGTGACATGCATTAAAAGGAGCAAAGGGTGCTCTCCTGTTATATGAGAAAAAAGGTGGCTAAAATTGATTACTACTCAAATTTAAAAAAAAAAAAAAAATGTTCAGCACCTGTAGATAGTAAATCCATTTAGTGTTTAAAGAGAAAGATACAGCTTGGCAGACAGACAGACAAACAAACTGGTAGTACCTCAGCAGCTCCAGCTACATTGAGCTGTAGCATGCCTTTCCTGTCCTTCTCCTCCATAGCCGAGTACTGGATGGACTGCACTTGGTTAAAGTTAGCTAGATGGGTAGGCTGGGGACAAAAAGAAGAGAAAGAGTAGAAATGAAATCATGTTAACTTGCTAAACCTAATCCTGTTACTTCATAATCACATGAACAGGTGGTAGCCATGACTGGAGCCAAGCCAGTAGTGTCACCTTCACTTAAAGTTAATGCTACCTTTTGGTTCAAATACTATCAGAAACAGTATCAGTAGAAACCAAGCTGTGATCTGTGATAAACCTGGTGCTGCTGGAAGAAACTCACCGTGGATCCCTTGTCAGTGAGGTAGCTGATCCCATCCTCTGGCCCGATAGCCAACTCCACCTGGATCACCCAGCTGGACTGTTAGAAGAGAGAAAGACATGGAGTTGAAAAGGGAGGGAGAGAATAAGCCACAGGAAGAGGTGGAGATAAATATAAGAAAATGTCATTCATTTACTCATTAGTAGCTCATAAGACACTCTCTGTGGGACAGCGTCACATCCTCGACACATGCAAGACCTGATGCTACCAAAAGGGGTCAACCTAACACAACTAACCAGAGCTTTCAGAGAACAGCAGGACACAGCAAAGTGGAGGCAAGAATGGAAGAAACCTACCCCAAGGGCACATTTGAAGCACTCTTTGTCGTAACGGTAGATTGGCACAAGTATCTCCAAGAACTTCAGGATGCACTGCTCATCGTTGAGATTGGCCACCTGCTTAAACGTCTGCTGGATCAACTTGCGAAGACTTTTAGCCTGAAGAGAAAAAAGACCAAGAGAAGATGAAGGAAATTAAGATCAAAAAGTAATTTTATTTAAATGTTATCCAGGTGCTACAGCAGCACATTTTACAACTGGGATGGAGAAGTGCATGACAACATGTATGTGTGTTTTTCTGTGTGGGCACAGAGTGACAGGGACACTAAGAGAGGAAGACATTGATTGACTAATAGTCATCTCTGGTCCCAATCAAATTGACCTCAGCACTTCATTCTAGTGCCACTCTCAGTTCAGATCAATATCTGAACAGAGACACGTTGGATCTGTTAGTTACCACTCAAATAAACATCAAAGAGTCTGTCCATTCATCAACAAACCAACTTAGATCTCACTATAAAACGCACAAAGTGCTCTAACAGATTTTTTGGCAGTGGCAGTTGCATTTTCTCTGCTGGAATTACAATCACAATTCAGACTTGATTTTTTTTTTTTAAGTCTGTTGTGTCACAAAAAACGAGACAGATGGGAAAGAAAATCCATCTAGGAACATTATTCTGTCATTTACAATCCTCTCTATACTTCTCCATTTTAAACATAAAGATACAAAACATACACACATGCACACACAACCACAGGATGCTGTAGATAATCCTCAAAATCTCATGTATATCTTAAAACACCATGGCTTATGAGGATTTAACAAATAACCTTTCTGACCTTTCTGATGACCCCATATGACCTCTGGCCTTTACATATATCCAAGCACAAAGATGCAGTATTAAGGATATTAAAATGTATATGGGTGACAGTATGATCCAAAAAATACATACACATTCAGTACATAGTATGAAAATACACATTCACACAAGCACATGCACTGTATGGACAAATCCGAGCTATAAATAGCTCTCCATATATAGATTAAGATAAAGATTAAAGGGGATTTAGTGCATTACAGACCAGGCTTAAAAAAAAAAAAAAAAAAAAAAAAAAAAAAAACGTGCAGATTTACAGTAGACCAGAACACCACAATAAGGTCAAGCTGCACAAAATAAATGAGCAGTTTCACAACTATGGTTATTACAAAGAATGTATCAATCACACTGATTTATTGACTACAAACATAACATAATTGGACACAAGCAATTGACTGATTTCAGTTGAGTCTAATGAGGACTAAAAATCATATCATCAGAGGATGTCCAGTATTTATAACCCCTTGTGTGTATTTTTAGGGGCAGAAGCATTCACACAACAATGGCTAAGGCCATAATTTCTTTCTAATATCCATTGTGTTCAGACACTGTCTATTTCCATTGCTGTTTTTTCATTTGTAAATACAGTGAAAGCCTTAATATCTATACCTTATTTCAGCATTTCAGAGCCCTGTTGTCAGTCTACTCATTAAGCCTGAAGGTATCAAAAATCTCATAAACCTACACAAAAACGTACATGTACACACACACACACACACACACACTTATCTGCAATGTTCCTGTGTGTTCAGCTCTGTGAGTGTTTGTGTGTCATTTCCACAGATGTCATAACACACATGCGATTACAGAATATAATGTGTGTGTGCTCATGTGTGTTCTTCAAGCTGCTGATAGGATCACTGTTTTAATTCCTAGAATTCCAGCACACTCACACACACACACACACACACACACACACACACACACACACACACACACACACACACACTCACACTCACACTCACACTCACACTCACACTCACACTCACACTCACACTCACACTCACACTCACACACAGAGTCAGTCCCAAGTGTCCACCCTTCCTGAGAGGAAGTATAGTGGCTATCACCTCACAATAGCAACAGGCAGACCCCTCGGATGATCAGTCACAGCACTTACACAGTATGTTTTTATTTTTTATTTTGATAGAATCCATCAAACTGTATACAGCTGAAGAATGGTGGCTGTGGTGCATTACGTCTCTATGCTTCATAAGATGTGACTTGTACCAAAAGTAGTTGGAAGTAATTTGGACTTTTGGTTATAGTTTCATCTCAGCAAGTTGCTTTTGTGCCTCCAGTGCAGAAAAGTCCAATACTATGTTGTGTCCTCTCCTGGTAAAACGTCTACTTTATCACAGAGAAGAGATCATTCTTCTGACACTCAAAATAATTAAATAACCGTAACCTGTATTAACAAAACTTCATGACCCCTTTTCAAAGCATTTAAACAAATATTCGTTTTAAAAACACGCAAAATCAAAGACTTTACTAATAATCCCTGTTTCTCATTATTCCAAACCTGATTTAAATTTCTCAAAATCAAATAGTTAAGTCATTTCATGCACTCGGATCCTGGTATGTACTATATATTTTTAGGCCTGCAGTCATCTCAGTTCTAAACACAGGCTAATTTCTAGATAACTAATACATATGTATAGTAAACATATGAACTTTTTTTTTTTTTTACAATAAATCTCATTGCAATGCTTCAATGTGTTATTGCTCTAACAAGAAAAACAGACTGTTCAGCTCAAGCTGGAGCTGGTTGATCACACTCTGATCTCCAACACCACTAAGGTCAGTTTAACTAAACCTGGTGTCAAGCCTGTCAACATGAATGAACAGACTCTGCTCTTTACAACAGCTAACATCAGTCACTGTTTACTACCACAGCCATCTGCTCTAGGGTGTGTGTGTGTGTGTGTGTGTGTGTGTGTGTGTGTGTGTGTGTGTGTGTGTGAAGTTGAGTCCATGGAGGGAGAATAATCCCATTAAATGACTACCATTCCCTTTCACCAGAGTGAACCTCAGAAACGTGAATGACAGCTGTGCTCTCTCTCTCTCTCTCTCGCTCTCTCTCTCTCTCACACACACATTAACTCCAACACAAATTCAATATTAATATTACCACAACTGCTTTTAACTGATAATACATGATATGAATATGTACATGTACACAGAAATACTCAAAGAGAGACACAACCACCTCATCAGGGCTGCAAATTGTTGTTGGTTGCTGGTTTTCATTATTGATTGATCTGTTCATTATTTTCTTGACTAATCAATCGTTTGGTCTATAAAATAGTCATTGCAATCGCAAAAATAACACAATCACGTGAAAAATGTCCATTATACATTTTTTTAAAACATGTTTAATATAACATTCTCACATCTGAGAAGCTGGAAACAGAGAATTTTTGGCATTTTTGCTTGAGATTTTCAAAATAACTGCAACTGCAACTCAAGTAATCGTTCTCAAACCTTCTCTACAATTCCTGATATTAAATGTAAGTCACTAATACTTCTACTCATTCTCTTTTTGTACTAATAATCCAATAAACCATTCTTTAATTACAGCATCAGTCCAGACATCTACAATCAAGTCAGATCGGGCAATTATTGGATGTTTGACTGCTCATATATGTGTGTTATGTGTGTCACTGTGTGCATCTTCATGACTTATAAAACAGGCTTCAGGGCAAATGTTTGATGTCATGTCTGCAAAAGCAGCAGAAAATGACAGAAAGGAGGGGAGAAAGGAGGAGAGGAAAGGAGAGGAGAGAAGGTAGTTGGGCAGCTGATGAAGGCGGAGTCAGCAGAGCTTAACAGACGGGGGGGAGGGGGGGGGGGGGGCACAATGTCGCCTCCCCCTCCCTCCTCATTGTAACGTCATTTAAACATGACCTGAGGGTCACACACACAGAGTCTCTCCCTCTGCAGAGCATCTGTCTGCCCGCCTGCTGACATCAAGACCTTTTCGGGTCACTTGGCCTTTTTTACACACAGACACACACAGACACACAGACACACAGACACACACACACACACACACACACACACACACACACACACACACACACACACACATAGACACACAGACACACACACACACACACACACACTCCCCTTAAACGCGTGCCGTAAATTTATCACTGACACAGACACTGTTCATTATGCAAGCGCACCCAGCCATCACAGACAAACATGCACAATCAAAATCTGTCAAAGATTCTATTTTAACACATCTCCCAACCAATGTGACTAATGGGTGCAGAAGATTTGCTACAAATCAGCATGAAACACATTTCAGTAGAAACCCCTAATACTAATTCATAATACAGTTAAACTGAAGAAACAACAGTGTTTCAATCTAAGTTCAAGTTGTGTTGATTCTCTGACCAAAGGTAATAAAATCTGTTTTCATTTTTTATGCTAAGCTAAGCTAAGAGGCTGGTAGCTGTTGCTTCACATTTATTGGACAGACATGAGAGTGATGTCATTCTTATCATCTAGCTCCCTGCAAGAATGTAAATGTGGGTATTTCTCAAAATGTTAAATAGTTCCTTTAAAGGGCGAAGCTTGCAGAACAGGGATGTTGAAAACTATATTCATCACCCTCATCTATAAAGAGTATGTCAGTAGGTTTTCCAATAAAAGTATGTTATTCTCCTATTCATTCTCTTAATCAGCCTAATTCTTGGATGCTGAATCCAAGAGTGGATGAAAGCTTGGACTGCTTCACATGTTGTCAGCCAGACCAGACGGAGTCTGACAACACATCAAATAACACATTCAAAAACTGGTTCAGAGGAGCCTTCACTTGTAGGAGGGAGCTGCCTATAAAACCACACGATTTTGTTTCTTGTGGTAACTGAGTAACTCCAGCAGGGCAGATGGAGCAGTATGATAGCAGCTGCTGAGTGTGGAGGAAGCATGACTTACTTACCCTACCAGGACACCAAAGTTTTAATCACAAATCCTCTTACTGAACTATTTCTTCCACAAATATTTCGAGAGGAGAAAATTATGAATTTATAACTTATATGGAGATTTTTCACTCCTGGACTCTCACCTTGACTGAATCCAACAGGTCTTTTGGAAAAAAACGCCTCAAACCAACATCTTTCCTGTAAAGAGAGAAAGAGAGAAATACAGAGGCATGTTTATTGTGCTGTAATTACACTGAGGAATGTTAATCGGAAAGCACTTCTGTCATTATCTGATCTCAGCAGCGTATTTTTTCCTCTGCTGAAAAATTACTAACAACAGCTACAGACAGATACAAGTGAGGCAGACGTGCAACTGAAGACAAGCAACAGAAAACAGAAACAGAAGGCTATGACTAAGTCCTGACTACAGAGCACTACTCATCTTTTCCTAAGAGACGGGGTTGAGGGAAAACAGAAATAGAGAGATAGAGAGAGGCAGGGAAGAGTACAAAGAGGGAGACCACAGAGACAAAGAGAGATGAACAGAGCTAAAACAGGAAGCTAGCTAATGACTCAAACTCCTCTGGAGAACAGACAAGTACAGGGGGAGGAGGAGAGAAAGAGCAAAGAGAGAGTGAGACACAGGCTCAGGACTTACATCATCCTTTCTCCCTCTTGTTCCTCCAACATAGGTCATATATCAGTCTCTAACTATTATTATCATCACAGAGAACGAGCACTGACAAAGGCCGACTGATTCAATGCTTTGCATTTGCTCGTAAACCACAAGGACTACAGCCAGCTGATCACCAACATGAACATATGTTTTGTGGCTAAATAAAAGGGAAATTACTAGTCAGTAGTTTGTATTCCTAAAACAAACAGTGAGGCAAAGCAGAAGAAAAACTACCACTAGCCTAATGGTAGACAATATACAATATTACTACATGATATATGTGCGGAAAACACATTTAAAAAAAACATAGGGAAGCAAAAAGGTACATTTGTCTCGAAGTTTCCAACAATAACTGAATAATGAATGAATATTGATTTTTTTTTAAACTATGTGTCTTCCAAGGACATTTCTATTTCCATATTATAAAGGAAAAAACTTAACTTAAAAATTAAGTATTTGGAAATCATGGACCCGTAAAATAAAGTGTTTACTTCTGGTCTTTTGCTGTTGTAAAAAGAAAATCTTAAAGCAGGGGTGAAAAAAAATGAGCTAATAAATCGATGTTTATGATTTATTTGTTAATCTGAAACAAAAATAACAGGTCTCTCACTGATTTGTCAAGGGCAGGCTAGAGCCAAAAGTGTCAGACATTAAAATGTATATGAATGCTCAACACATGCCCAGCAGCCCCTGATGGCCAACTGTCAACTTGGTGTATTAAAACCCCAACAGCACTTTCCATTCCCTTCTCTTGTTGCTTTAAAATATGCAAGACACAACATCTTTTTCCAATCAACAGAGAGATGCAGCAAGGGAGAGAGACAAAACAAAGAGCAATAACACAGGAAGAAAACAAACTAAAATAGAGGATGAGGGCATAGAGAAGAGAGACAGACAGAGAAGGACTGAGGGGACGAAAAAGAGAGACAAAGAGATCTCAATGGAAAGACAGTGTGCATTCTTCTCAGTTAATTGGAGAGCTCGTTAGGCTGATGGACAGAAAGAAAGACTGTACTGGAAGAGGGCAGCTCATTAGAATCAGACCACATTAGAGCCAAGCCTCGTTAGGGCCGGAGTTTGTTAATGTTCTTCATCGACATCCATCTAGCAGGGAGCTGTTAGTGGAATGACACAGGGCGCAAACCAGACAGAGCAGCCAGTCAAAAATGAATGAGTTTTAAACATAAATGAATAAGTGGTCCTGTGAATGAATACAAATAGCACGGTCAAGATTTAGTCTGTTTTGAAAATGAAAAATGTAGCTAGACTGTTGACTTTCTTTGCACCAGTGCATGAAACGTGTTCAATCGCAGTTGGACTGCAACAAAACTGAACAACCTTCAGATTTTTAAATGTTCCCAGACTTTTCTAGGAACGGCATAACACTGCACCAAATTATACTGTGTGATTTTGCTGGCATGTCTGCAGGGTTATAGAACATGTTCCCAGGTAGAGGGAGGATGTGGCAGAAAAAGTGTACAGCCAGATTCGCTGTGTGCTGCTGCAGCACTTTGCTCAAGAAGAAAATACTTACTCCAGTAGTTCATAGTTGGATTTCTTATCCAGGGCGTTTCCTCTCATCTCCTTAAAGAACCTCCTGGAATTGAAACCAGTGGGACACAGAGAAAATTTATTAAAATTTATTCCCTTGTTCCTTTTGTTTATACACAGCACAGAAGACACACTACAATGGAATTATAGCTGACATATAAATAGCTGTTGCTTTGAATAATGAATAATAATAATAATGATTAATAAACACTGACAAGTGTTAGCAAGAATTATCAGTGTAGCTGAAGGGTAGACACAGATTTTTTATTATGAAACAACTCCACTGGTGAAGAAAACAACTCAAACCGACCCATTAATGGCCAGTTGAGGCAAGAATACACCAGTTTAGTAACTTTCAAAGTGACAAAAACGAATATCTGATGGGATCAAACCTTTTAGTTTTTGATATAAAAAGAAAATAGACAGCAACACGTAAAGAAATGGACACAGTGCACTGTAAACAGAAGCACTGAACTTGAGTCACTGGGCTCTACTGTGAGCACATCTTACCTGATTTCTAGACAACCCAGTTTGAGAGCTACTTCTTGTTCCACCTGATCCCCCATCTCCGTCATGTAGTCAGTCTTCACCTGAAGGACACAAATACACACCACAAAATATGTGTATTAGAAAAATGTTTTCTCCAAGAAACAAATGGGAAGACATCTCTCTCTCTCACAAATACACAAACAGTCCCACTGACCTAGATTACCCAAAGGAAAACACACACAGTCTTCTAGCAATGCCATATGTCTCAGTGCTGGCTGCTGGCAGAAAATAAAATATGTTTGTGTGTCTGGGTGCCTCCGAGTGTTTGTGTGTCTGGGTGAGTACCTGGTGATAGAAGTAGTTGAGTGTAGGTTTGTCTTCTGTAAACTGCTGCATAAAGCCCTTTGGAAGATACCGGATCCTTAATTCATACCTACAGTGGAAAAGAAGAAAGGGAGAGTGAATATGTTATGCAGAGCTGCACCAACACAATTTTTCCCACTTAAAAACAGTGAAAATCAAAAACTAGCTAAGACTCGCAGCTTCTATATTGCCTGGAAAAAATTGTTGGAACAAGTTTTTTATGAGGTAAAAACAGTGGAATGAATCGGTTTGAGTTGTTGAATTTGGCAAATATGCTTTGGGCACATACCAGCTTCACACTAAATACTAAACATGTACAATGAGCCACTAGTTTATTTTGTAAATGACTTAAAACATAATCCAGTTTTAATGATTATAAGTAAGCACAGTCAGCAGTAAGCCAGTGCCAGAGAGGCCAAGGAAGAAGAGAGGAAAGGAGATACGAATAAGGACATGATGGTGAGCAGGAGAAGGAAGTTGACTGGGGGAAGAGGGGGGAGAGACAGACATAAGGAGGAGAAGAAAAAGATAATATGCAAGAATGCAAATGACAAGACCGAGTAGAAGCAGGGGCAGAAAGAGTTGTTGAATTGGTTAGACAAAGAGGGCATCTGGTTCTCTCTCTCTCTCTTGATGTCCACAGTTCAAAAGGTCTCTACCTCACAATAGAATTAGCACCAAGACCACCATAATAAAGGCAACACATACCAGTGCATTAACATCCAAACTGCCAAACCAACACAACAACGCCGCACCACACACAAGGCCTCCAATCACCACACGACAGACGGGTCACGCTACTTTACATGACGCCGTTTGAAATAAATCACTTCTGCTACTTTGGTATACAATAGGGCAGACTGCTGCAGCTCGCTGTGTGGGGAAACAGTGACATTGACTGAATTTACAAGGCCAAATAAATCATGTCTAGGCAGGCACCCAAGGCAGGAAACTTATAAAGTATAACCTCACAGCTTTTCTTCAAAAAGGTGCTTATTAAGGGCATATAAGCACCTTTCTGAGAATCAAAATGTTCTCTAAAATCTCAGATAAAACTCATCTACCACACTTGCTATTAACTTTTTGAGGTTAGCTTAGATTACTTCATTAATCCCCAAAGGGTAACCAAGTTTTTTCATATTGCAAAAGGACATTACTGTAGCTCAGGAGCCTGTCTCACTACTTAATTAAAAGACGATATGAATATAATTGATCAATTAATAAATAAAATGCCAATGGCAAGACATGCACCTAAAAACAAGATCAATATAATTGGCAATACAGTACATATGAAATAAAAACCTTTTAAAAAAAAAAGTATGTCGAGCCTTAACAAGAAAACATCTAAATCCTTCTGTGGAGCATCTGTAACTGGCACCTTGCATCCCTCAGTTATCTATTATTCTTTGGTCTTTGCCTGTCGCCTCAGGTGACCGTCTTACAACCTCAGTCTGATCTGAGACTTGAAGCGCTGAGTGCAGCATTTACACTTCAGCAAATCTTCAATATGTTACATTTGTATTGCATAATGATGATTGATTGAGTGTTTGAGAGAAGCACACACACACACAAACACTTGTCTTCTCTTACCTCCACTCCTCATTTGGTCGTGCCTGTTCATATTTCTCTCTGACATGGGAAACGCCCATATCGGGGTGGAGCCAGTGCAACTGGTCTCTGGACTGGCTGTTGCTGAGACGAAGGCCAAAACAAGACGTCCAGCGCACTTTGTGGATGTCCAGAATTTTCTGGATGATTCCCTGGACACAAAGAGTGAACAATTTTATTGTGATATACTTTTTTTTTTTTACTCACTTGTCCTGCACAGTCACATACAAAGTATACATTCTGCAGATATTACATTTAGCGATGGAGTATTAGACTAAATGAAATTAAAATTATGAAGCCTTTTCCCCTTTATCTACAGTGGTACTGTCCTAGTTAAAGTGGTCCAAAGTACGCATAAGTGTGTGGTGACTATTAAATAAAACAGAGATGCCCAGTGGACAAAAACCTCTATAAAGACATCAGTCTGCCAACTGTGCTAATGTTTACGTCTGGCATTTTGTATCAGGTCAATGAGGCTATCCATGTCTATCCATGTGTATGTGTGTATGTAGGTGATTCCAAGTGATTCCAAGTGATTTAATATGACATTCCCACCCAAACAAGTTGACAGACATCATACACACGCGCATGATAATGCTCAGAGAACCATGTGTGTTGCCATGTAAAACGCTAGGGGGTCTGACCCAGATACTGAAGGAGAGAGTGATGGGAGGAGAGGAGAGGAGAGGAGAGGAGAGGAGAGGAGAGGAGAGGAGAGGAGAGAAGATGGATATCTGCAGTGACGTGTTCTGTATGACCACTAAAGTTTGACCAGCACTGAGCACTTTCTGCCTCATGGGAGTGCATCTAAAAGCATACTGTTAAGTAAACCTAGAATGGTACACACACATATACACAAACACACAGATGGTGTCCTGAGGTAACACGTATTTGCAAGCAAAATATTCTCATAGTGCTGAGTGTCCTTTATCAGAGCAGACAGCTAGGACCTTGAGCTAAGGACAAATAGCAAAAATCCACCTATAAAACTGCTGCTGGGGGTAAACTGCAACATATAGTAGGTGCAAAGAGTATATGAACACGATTATACAATGCAATGACATAGCTACATAGCTGCAATGACACTGACAAATATCACCACCATGAAGGTTATAATGTTTAGTTGTAGTAAAATACAGCTTGCAATATTCTGTATTATTCTTACTGTCAACAAAATCCCATGAATGAGTAAAACTGCATCACAAAATGGAGAAAATAAGTAACATGCACATTTTGTACGGCCACATAAAGACTTGTTGCACATAATAATTAACAAAGTTTGTGCTAGAAGTATGATTGTGTTGTTTCTTTAGTTGTTATTGACTTAAGAAAAAACAAGAAAAGAGTAAAACCAGCAATGAACTGATTCTACTAACTATTATTGCCAGTGTGACCAAAGCCTAATAAATCTTATTCAACTTTTCCGCAGAACTCGAGTGCTGTCCAAAATCTATTAAAAGCACTTTAATAAACTACATTGTTGCAGTGGGTGACATGTTCCTTCTTTATCATGAACATGACCACTGCAATTTATTGTGTGTTATTGTCATTCCCACGTACACCGTCCTGTTGCTCAAAATACTCACTAAAATACCAAATGTGGCTGAAAATAGTTGCCAACAAATGCTCATTATTCCTGTTTGAGTTATGTTTGGAAATAACTACAGTCTCTTTCTGTTTTAGGAAATTACTGAGCCTCTTTTAAAAAAAATTAAGATGTATACCTGTGACCCATTTTTGACCCCTTTGCACATTCAGCGTGTGTCTCTTCTTACCCTGACATCAGTGGCATCTCCATATCTGATATTGGACGACCAGCAACTGTTCTCAGTGTTGGTCTCAAAGTGATGGAAGACTTTGAGAACCCTGTCCACGGAGCCGGCCATGGTTCGGTCTGACCCCCCTGCGCTCAGCCGTGACTTGGCGCCTCCCAGGAGGGTATGATTCAGGTTGGGGTCCAGGTAGGCTGTCGCCATGGTTTTCCCTGCTGACACTGCAGCTGCTAAGTGTCTGTCATATTCTGTGGGGGAGAGGAGAGCAAGTCCGAGGTCAGAGAAATGAGGAAGAATGAAGAGTTGTATCAGAGGAAAGTGAAGGAGATTCTTGAACTTCTAAACCCCTTCTCATATTTTCTCAACCAGTCAAATCATCTAGCGTGTGAGCAGAGGAGGGCTTCACCTAAAGACTTTGTTTTCATTAACAATTGATCAACTGCTGGTTGTTTTCTTGATTAATCGTTTTGCAGAGGCCAAGGTGACATCTTCAGATATCTTGTTTTATCCAATCAACAGACTCAAATTATTAATAATTTAGTTGATCAACAGAAAATGAATCAGTAACTATTCTGATAATGGATTAATCAGCATATCATTTCTGTTACAGCAGAGAGGTCAAAGCTAAGAAAGTGCTGGATATATGGTTGAAACATTCAGTTTCTGCAACTCCACGTGGTAGCAGCACAAATACAAACTTCATCAAACCTACTTAAAAAAAAAAGACACCAAGGCTAAACATGAACAACTCTAGGAGAAAGGGAATATTGAGCCACTTTTATATCATTAATCATGTTAACATCCAGTTCAAAATCAATTTGCATGAAATTATGTGGAACATGATGGGTGGTGTAATTTCACCTGACAATAAAGGTGATGTTCAATTAATCCACTATCAAAATAGTTGCAAATGAACTCTTGCTTCAGCTCTAGCTTGGCCAGTGAAATAGCTGATGCTGCATATTTTCTTCTCCTCCCTGTTTGATGCACTTGCAACATTGTGGACTGCAGTCCTGCTACTCTCATACTTGAAAGAAACCTTGCTCAGAAAATGCCTGTTCCTGACACGACATACTTCGGCAAGATGAAAAACACTGAACAAATGAGATACCGGGGAGAGAAATAAAAAAGACAGATGTGTAGTCGGGGTCAAGGCTCAGTGTGTGAGACTCGTGTCTGTAACAGAAAGAGGACAATGCACCTCAGGCTGACGTTTTTCCTGAATAAGAAGTCCTGACATTGACACACTTCCTGGAATTTCATTGTAACTTCATCTGGGGATGTCCAACAAGAACTACCTCCGAATGTTAGATGTGTGTGTGTGTTTTTGTGCATGTGAGCTATTGTAGCCATGGCACTGTGGAGAGAAAGATACTGAGATCTCTTTTCACTCTCTATATTTCTGCTTCCCTTTCTTCCTGTGCTTCTCCCCTCTCCTCCATTAAAGGAAAATTGATATGTTCTAGCAGGTAATTACACCTGAGAGAACGCACACAAGCACACACACACACACACACACACACAAGCACACACACACAAACAAACACACACACACACACACACACACACACACACACACACACTCAGACACATCCAACACACGACCACACAGGCACATCGGCGCACACAATCCACACACCTCAGAGGAAAGACTGTAAAGTTGCTGAGGGATATATCACAGTTAGATAAAAATGTGCACCCATATTACTCTGCCAATTTCAAGTGGTAATGACCTTTGTTGACAAGTCACTCTGCTGGCTTTCAGCACTTAAACCTACATCTCCTTGTCTCTCACACACACACACACACACACACACGTTCTGCAGAGCAACGGCAGTTTTGGCAGTCCACCAAGTCAGTTCCCATGGAGTCAGATGTCACTCTGTGGAAGGGCTTCATGCTACCTGTGCGTGTTTCTGTGTGTGTGCAAAGGAGCTTTCATTCATACCTCTGTCCCAACACATGGGGAAGGGGCTACAGCCACTCGTTTCCATGGACACACATGTTTGTCCCTCCCTGTGTCTGTCTGCGCTGAGGACAGATAGACAGCTTGCAGCTTCACAACCACGCATCACACTCTGTGAACTTCTTGTGTACAGAAGTTACATAAATAAACACAGTGAGGTCCTGACACAACTGCAAGAACACTCTCACATAACGCTGATACACACACTACACACAGACACACAAACACTCAGTCCCCAAGGTAGAAATCTTTATCTCCAACTTTTGTCAACAGCTTCGTTAACCAACAGTTTCTTCTTCCAGAGGCAGAAATCCTCAAAAAGGCCAATCTTCTGGTCTGTCGACACTTTGTAAAGACAATGCTACAGAAAAAAAATCAACGGGGAAAACGTAAAAAATCCCCATTCTTCGAAAAGTTTCTGCTTTGTTAAGTTTTGTCTTCTTAATCTTTTCCTGTTATCTGCAGTCAGAAGTCAGAAAAATCCTCAGAGACGTGAAGTTACTTTCATCCACACACTTCTCTTCTCCTCTTTTTCTGTCCACTTCTGAATTACTCCTCAGTGGCGCCTCTCTGATGACAACACTGTTTGTTTTTTGCCTGATTTCTGCCCCATGCCTGTACTCCGTAGTTACACAGTTGCCGTGGAAGTGTGAAGCGACTGTCGCCCAGGAGAGGATTCGGGATCCTGCGATGGTGAGAAGACTGCTCCTCTGGCAAAAGTTCAAGTAAGTGGTCACAAAGAAGGAGAGACAATTACTGTGCTCAGTGAGAAACAAACAGAAAGTTATCCTTTTCTCTTGGAAACAGACAGCAAGAGAAAAGAGGTAGCCAGAAAAACAAAGGAAACAGAGACAGTGGGACAGAGAGAGCGAGAGAGAGAGAAACGCAGCAATTGTTTCAAGTTGAATGAGAGGAAAAGGAGGACAGGGCAGCACAACTGAAAGAGTGGAGTGGGGAAGGAGAGAGTTTGAGAGAGGGCTACTGGAGGAGCAGGAGGAGCTAGAACCTATTAATATGCTAATCCTGTCTCTTCCATTCATTAGAAACCCCTCCCACTTCTGTTTATGAAGCTGATCTCCAAACAGCCCTTATAGAGAACTAATATTAACGTTGCTCTTTTAAGCACAGACATCTATTTCATTCACTTTAGACCAAAGTGAAAAGTGAAAGCAGGACAGAAACAGTTATCATCATCTCCATTATCTCCCACTGTACCCTACATTGAATCAAAAGCACATTCAAAGCTGAATATCTCCCTGCTGTCCACTGTTTCATATTAACCACGGTCAACTCTAAGGTAAGTTGTCCCAAAACCATAAACTTTCTTACAGTCCAAATTAGAGCTGCAACAATTCGTCGATAAACTATTTTAATAACTAATTAACCATTTTTGTCATTTCTCAAGCAAAAATTCCACATATTCTCTGGTTGCAGCTTCTTCAGTCTTTGTCATATGTGACTGGGAACTGATTATATTTATGATTTTAACTATTGAGGAAATAAAACAAGCTGAATTTGAATACATGACCTTGGTTTTTGGGCAATTATAACAGGCATTTCTCACTGTTTTCTGACATTATATAGACCATATGATTAATCGGTGATATAACTGATAAAGAAAAGAAGTCGACAGTTGCAGCTCATGGTGTACATGCCAACCCAGATATGATAGATTACCTAAACATGCACATTCTCTTTTCTAAAATAAATAAAGAAGAAGGAAAAAAAAGAAGAGAAGAGAAGAGAAGACAACACAGACGTTGCCCTGACTGTGCCCAGCATGTAAACTAGCAGCTGCCAGCAATATGCAAACCAATCCACTTCCAAACCACAAGGTCTCAATCAATCATACTGTGTACTGCACATTTAAAGTCATTCACCTTGTACTATGGGGGTCATGCTACTTTCTTTACTATCTCTCAGAGCACTCAATACCCCTTCAATACCCTTGAGCAAGTGGCACCTATTGCTGTGAGTGTTATTGCTAACCAGATGCCAGCCGCCATTAATCAAACGGACATTTATATGGCTGAACACATCCTCAGCTGAAGAACCGAATGGACCTCAACGTCTTACTGAACACAAAGAAAGTTCTCTAACACACACAGTAAAGTCACAGAAACTTGAAATCTTATTGTTTCATTGTGTTCCAGATAAGCTTGCTGAACAGTGTCTTGCATATGCGCGTTTGCATGTGTGTGCACGTGCAGGTTTCCTTTAATTTGTGCTCCATCTCAGGCATTGGCCATTGTTATGAAAATCTGGTGGGAGCAGGGGGAGCGTGTGTGTGTGTGTGTGTGTGAGTCTGAGTCTGAGTGCGCATGTGTGTAGACTATTGAAAGCCTTTTGTCAGAGGGCCGGATGCTGCCATGAATGGGAAGCGCTCTTTTGGGACTGAGCCAAAGTCTCTTTCTCTATTTCTATCTTGCTGTGTGTTTTTGAACACATAATTATTTTGGCAGGGGAGGAAAACACAGCACTCACACTCTACTAAATGCAAATAACATCTGAAAGGTGCAGGTGAACCTCTGAACTGTAATAGCTACTTTGATGCATCCTTGCATATGTTTTTATCAGTGAACAATCAGTGTGTTCGCATCCATGCCTTGAAGTTAAAATCCAAAGGCTGTTTGAATTACAAACGTATTTTACCTCATAAATGCAAACAGTTTTTTTTTTTCCTGCTTGTAATCTACATGGCTCCTCACAGCAACATTACTCTTCTGCTGCTGGCTCTGTCAGGACTAAATGTCACAATCTCAAATTTTTGTGGGTTTTTTTTATACTAGCAAGTCAAAGGTAAAATAGAAAACCGCTGACATTTAGAGTCACAGCCCAATGACTACTAACAAAGCCCACTGTAAAGTCCCATCTATCAATTTGTAATACTGTGATGAGGTTGTAATTAGGACCAAATCAGCACACATGGATGTGGAAGTGACGTTTGCAAGGCAAGATTCATGTGCTTCTCTACCTTGTAAGAAGTAATTTATCTTTCCTCCTGTGTCTGTGTCAAGTAATTGTTGTTGTATCATCAGTTTCACATGATCTCCGAGCTCTACACATTACATGCACTGATTACAATGCAAGCATGCCCCCTGGCCTTGCTCATCGAATAAATTAACAGACAGATAAACCGTTGGTCAAACAAGAAGTATCTGAACAAACCATTTAAAAGACTGTGTAATGACTGCAGTTATGAAGACACCAAGCCTGAGAATGACTAACTAAAGCCCGAAGGAACGAAACATAAACTTACTTCTTTTAATTAAGCTAACAAAACCAAAAAAAAAACTACCACACACACTGGTGTTACCCTTGAAACATCCTGTCAAGAAAATTCCATTGTTATTGTCTTGCTTCCTCACAGCTGCCAACAGGTACTGTGAGACACACTTACAGTGGATGATACAGTATGCTGCTGAGAAAGGAGGAAAATGTCTGAAGTATTTATAGTAACTAGAGTATAGTCACTCATTTAGCCGTGGATATGCTTTTAATTTGTGGAGCAAAATTTTAGATAGTGCTCCAACTGTATTGTGGTTTGGGTCAAAAGGTCAACAGGATTTACGGCTTTTGATATTTACAATAGCTGGCAGCTGGCAACTTAATTCATCTGATATAACTGGCCAGAAAGGCATGCTTTCAGGGCACGGTGCCATGATACATGAATATGCTCCCCTGCTTTATTCATCTCAGTAACACAAAAGAAAACAAATTTTCACCCTCAGGTTATAGAAGCTAAACCAAGACTCACAACTGTCTTTACAGGAATATATTTTGTTTGTATTATCCACAGTGTGAAGATTACAATTAGTCACACAAACTCTCAACTAGAGCGATGTTCACTCTTTCCTTCATTCCTGTCTGCACTAATGAGATCAACACACACACAGACAGATAGTCCCACTGTCTGTTTTCTCTCTTGTTTATCTGTCTAATGCACTCACAATTATGATTCATAAATATGTGCAATTACAAGATCTCGTTTGTACAAACATAAATCCTCAGCACCTCTAAGTCCTGAGAATATTTCATCAGTTCTCACAAGAGGATGTCAACATAAATTCAAACAAAAGCAACACATATTCTAACCACACGTGCAATTTATAAGCTCTTTCCCTTCTCTTTTTATTTTGACTCATGTTACCATTTTACCCGCTCTCAAAGTGAACTACTATTACTTGGACTACAGCAGGCACTTAGCCCACGGCATGTTACAGTCTGTTGGATTATTTGAACAGCAGCTCAAATTAAATGAAATCAAATCAAAAGTCTGCTTAGCTGTCCTGGAATTGGCTTAGTTTTTTATGTGACTAAGTATGGAACTTATGAACTTATGAACTTATGAACCAACGAAGCCAACTCCATGACAGCTGAGCCAACTTCAATTTAATGACGACCGGGACATTGTTTGACACTTTCATGCTAATATTCCTCATCCATTCCTTTTTATGGACCCCTTTTGTTGTCCTAACCACACTTATTTAGAGGTGCAAACTGTGTATGAATTAATGAAGCAGCTGAATGCTGAAGCAGGTGTTTGAAGTTCAGCTACTCACCTGTGTAGTAAGCAATCCTGGAAATATCTGAAAGACAAACAGAAATAACAGAGTTAGCTGGTTTGTTTAATTATGTGGTACTGCATTAAGAAATCAGCCATTCAGAACAAAAATGTAACTGAAGTTTATCAAATTAAGTCCAACAGCAGGTGTTCTCAGTTCAGTTACTGAATGTGAATTACTGAGGGGATGCCAGTGCCAGCTCCATGACACTTGCCAAATTAAATAGCTTAAAAATCAATCAATTTCGTGTTGACATTTCAACCGGATATTGATGGATTGCTTCTAAAATCAATATCCCATTGTAACATAATTTACCCCCACCCCTGAGAGCTGGGGCCGAAGCTTTGGTTTAAAAAGCTAATTGCAAAATGCCGAGGAACAGGTTTATTGTTCATGGGTTCATGCTTAGCAGCTGTGAGATGGAGACGTTACACTGACTGGACTTCAGGTCATTCGACCTTCTTGCCTTTGTCGGGTGGAAAACTACAACAGTTTACACAGTAAACACAACCAAGTGTAAGTCTTTGAGCACAACAGTATAAAATCCACAGTATTAATGCTGGAACGTGTTTCTTTGGCTTCTAGATTAATGTGCATCATAGTTTTTCTAAAACGCCCACAAGGCTGTGATGACTGCAAAATCTGAGTGACTATTGAAGGTGACTATTACTGTATATTTCTCAAACTAAGCATAATCATGTTGCACTGTAAAAGCATGTGTCCAATTCCACTTTATTTATAATGAATTAATACGCATACTAAATAAAACATGTGAAGAGAAAACATGTTTAAAGGCTATAAATACTCATTGGTTAGTAAGTTGAAAGTAGACATGGCAGTCCTACCCTATTATTGAGTGGCTAGGTACACTACACTGTATCGACACTACAGCTCCCATACTCTCACAGGAAGCTCAGGAGAAGCCTTTTGAGAACCTGACACCCAGTTAGAGCAGTGATAGGGCTGTATGTAGGAGGAGGTCAGGAGGATAAGTGCCTAAGTGCTTTAGACCCCCTGATGTACACACAAATATACACTGGGTAAGCACACACATGCATTCATGTGCACACACACACACACACACACATATATATAGGGGGTGATTTGACAGCAAGGGATGTCAACAAAGATGATGTAATGGTAAGGAGAAAACCCACACAGAGAAAGGAAATGCCAGTAAGGTGACTCATGGTGTGTGTGTGTGTGTGTGTATGTGTATGTGTGTATGTGTGTGTGTGTGTGTGTCTGTATTATTATCTACAAACCCTTTGTAATACAAAACTAGGACCCTAAGTGTGAAGTGTGTGTGTGTACATGTATGGTAGCAGGGATTCATCAATACAGGAAGACAACTATTGACAATCCAAGAGCTTACCAACTTCCCTCTTTGCAAATACATCCTTCATAACAAGTTGGTTTATGAGACAACTTATATATTTCTGCAAGATAGAGGTGGCTTTATAATATAATGACATTGTTGAATTTTGTTTCAGGTGTTATTTTTGAATAATATATAATCATATTACTGTATATTGTAAGTTTCAAGTATAAGCGATGCTGCCACTGAACAGCAGTTCAAAGTTTTATTTGTCCAAATGTACAGTAAGCAAAGCAGTGAAATAAGGGGCGGACTCTGCAGTGGAGCAGAACTGCAAATATTGCAAATCAATATTATGAAAAATATCACATATCGCCAGAAATATCTCGATACACAGTATTATCAAATATCGGCCCAAGCCTAATTATACCTTTAATATTAAGCCAAAGCCAATGCTCCTTTAGAATAAATGACTAACCTATATCCATTACTAAGCGGCTAAAATGGACCATGGTAAACTGATCTGAACAATGATCTGATCTGGATAATGACAGTCTGTCTTAAAGTGTCTATAATGACATCTAGATAGATCTAAAACTTACCCACACCATCTGTCTCATGGATGCTCACTCTGTGTGTCTGCCCCTGTCTCTCTCATCAGTATAGGTTAAGTGCTATGTAGCCTGAGATCTGCAGCCATGCTGGTGCTGTTGCTGTCTAGACTAAAAAGCATAGGAGACTATGGCTTGTTCTTGTCTGAGAAACAAGATTAAACAGCACCTGAGGAACTGGAAAAAAGACTGCAATCTTTATACAAATTAATAGTTAAAACACATTTTAGAGACTCACATTTTCAACCTTGATTTTTCATTTCTTCTTTTACAACAGTTCCTTTGCCTTGTTTTTAATGTCATACACTTTATTGATTTAAATCATTAGCAACTCTGGGTTGAAAGGTGTTAACTATAGCTCACTATGTGATTTTTTTTCTCCATGGAATATCCTGCAGGAGAACTAGCATGGTGCTAATTACATACCAGTCTGTTTAACAGTCCCCACTGCAGGTAAATAAAACACACACACACACACACACACACACACACACACACACACACACACACACACACACACACACACACACCCTTCACACTGGCAGGCAGCCCAAAACACCTGCTCCTCAAGCTGTTGTCAAGGATGAGAAACGAGACGAGAGGAGCAGCAAGGATTCATCTCATAGTTTTTTATAGAAATGCATTTGTATATAATTATAAGAAATGCTGAAGATAAATTCAATGAACAATGCTCTCTCAGTAACTACAAATGTTTTCTTACTCTGAGTTCGTGACCTACACAAGCTATTGTGTAGGAGTGCAAGAAGAATAAATATAAGAGCTCAGGCAGCACAAAAAATGTCCGTCTTATGCCAAAACAATTGCCCTCAGAATTACAGGTCTCAATGCAGAAAAATAAGGAGAGAAGAACCAATAAACAAATGTGGATAAATGCTCTACCACTGCTCTAAATGTTTTAGATTCAGGTTTTTGTTTTGTATCTGAAAGCAGTTCATTCTGATTGCTGCATGGTGGTCTTACCAATTTGCACACACACACACACGCGCGCACACACCTACACCTACTCACACACACACGTTTTCTTTCATCTCTGTGTCTCTGGCGTGACATAATGAGCCAGCATTTGTAAAGATAAGTAAGTGGATGTTGTTATTCTGTACACACTAGTCCAAAAACACATCATACACACCTTTACAGACGGATACATATCTCTGCACACACAGACACAGACACATCCACACAGTCTCCATGTCTGCCTGCTGTGTATAATTGCATGGTAACAACAGGTTTTTGGGTAACAGTAATTAGACAGAACAATCAAGAGAGAGTCTGCAATGAAGTGATGTTTAAACAACTGGTCTCAGATCAGTAGTTCACCAGAAATCATAGTTTGAGCGAGAGGTTAGTAACTGAGATGAAAATCAAAACCCTCTCAAATTGAAAGCAAGTTTTTTTTTTTTTTTTTTATGTGCTTAACACAATATTAAAAAACAAGAAATTAAAAATCTGTGCTCAATTAAGAAGCAAATTCCCATCATCACAATGAAATGAATGTTATTAGAACAAAATGCTTGTGCTTTAACATTATAACCAGATGGGGTTTTTTTTCAGTGACAGCTTCCATCGTATATTTCTATCTTGGATTTTTGCAAGTTCAGGCAGTATACTGGAATCAGGTGTTTTGAATCTATCTATATATATATATATATATATATATATATACTGGAATGGCTGAAGCAGCTGTCATGTTGGCTCAACACAAGTAAAAGTTAGAACAAAATAACAAAACAGTGCAGCTCGATGCAGCAGTGACAGATCAAACTGAGGAGAAACAGAGACAGATGTTCTTTTCCCACAAAAAATAAAGCACTTCTCCTAGAATCAACTGATTCAACTTGAGGAGAGCAGTCAGCTGTTCTGACTCAATGCTCAGTGTTTAATGGTTAACCCTCAAGCTGAGCTGGCACACGCTCACGTGTGTGTGTGTGTGTGTGTGTCTTGACCCTCTGGACAATGGGGTGTTACTGGAGCGTGCAGTCTTACGATGCAACAACATAATGCCTGAGGCACCAATCACACCTGCCAGTCACACACACACAGGCGAATGTGCAGAACAACACACACACACACAAGCAATGTTTTGTCCTTGAAAATATACTTGCGTAGGCTTTAAGCTCAGTTTAGACTTTGATTGTGACCCATAATATGTTTTACACAATGGAGGCAGAAATAATTTTATATGATGCAGGACAAGTGAGTATTTCCAATGACTCGATTTAGAGTGAAAAACACTAAAAACACTGCCATGGTGAGCTGTATAGGTAATGTGTTCAAACAGAAGCACATGTGCATTTTCTTATGTCATTATTCACATTCAGATAAACAGCAAGCAATTATTCCAAACCCAACACTAACAGACAATAAAATGCACTGCACGCACACACACACACACACACACACACACACACACACACACACACACACACACACACACACACACACACGATGCATATTCCAGATAAGTCCTACATTCATGCAACATAATAAGGTCACGTAAACGCATGACTGATCATACACATTTATCTGCAAAAGCGCACACACTGTGACACACACATCCACTCAAGTGTGTATAGTTCAGGTGCAGTGATAAAGCTAACTGGCTTACTGGGGCAGCACGCATGTTAAGGTATCACACTCAGACCAGATACGCTATGTATAATTCAACACAACAGATTGAGGATGAATTAATGGGTGAGATAGCTTAAGCTCTAATTTTTTTTTTTTTCCGCAAAGGTGCCAGTCTCTGTTTTTTAAATAGATCAAAACACATCTGACATTACCAACACCAAATTAGCGTGCAGTCACTGCTGTGGGTTAAAGCATACATTTACACTTGCTTAACCACTGAAAATGTTTTTTTGAGTAAGAAGAAAATCAAACGTAATATTAAATATTGAATGCTTCTTTGATTTTATATGAGAGCAAACACTGGGGGACAGGTTTACAAGGCTAAAAATTCATCTTCAATTCTCATTGGCCAACGAAGGCAGACCCTTACTGGTTGTTGAGTAGTACCAGGCTACGCTAATGCATCCTAACATGTATATTTAACTATGCTAAAAATGGATAACAAC